TGCCATATCCACACGTGCATCCAGCCAGACGTGTTGATCGTCCTCCGGTCCCCAACTAGGGAGCCGAGAGGCTCCAACCGAGACTGATTTTGAAGCTCTAGACAAGGTCATCGCTTGACCACGTTTACTCTTCTTCCATCCACAACCCGGCGCATCAACAACGCACTTGCGGGAGTCATTGGTTTCGGAGAAAGATCGCCGATGAATGTCGACAGAGAGAAACGTGCGAGTTGGTGATGTTTGTTGGCGGATCTGACCCAGAGTGAGGACGTGAAAAGTACTAGCGTGAAATGCATGATGAGCTACTTGCCTCGATAGCATCAGTCGCGAAGTCAGCGGTAACCGCTCACACAATAGACGAGGAAGAATAGAGCCGAGTGGAACGAAAAGAGCAAGCAAAAGGACTATCGTTGTTGGGCTCGACAGGACACAGGATATCGGTTGCCACCACTTCCTTCCTCACTTCGAATCTGAGATCCCGTTGGGAGCTGACAGCATCTACAGAATAGATCGTTTTATTCTTGAACTGCAAACTAGACTGCTTCAGAACATCCAGGTATGCACACTTCCATCTGTCTTCTGTCCAGCTCCGTAGGAAGTTCACAGATCCACCTTCAAAGTTTCCGTGAGGTTGATTGCTATCTTTATCTTGCGCAACACGAGCCCACTATGGAATGTGTAGGGCCTCAAATTTTAATGCCCTAGTTAACCCATGTTCCCCGTGGAGGAGCTGTATGCTATCGGGCGCATCCACAGGTTGCGGATGGGGATCGCCTTCTTTGTGGAGGTAACTGCGAATAAGTCACGTTTGTCATGCAGGCGAGATGAATAAGCAGTCGCGGACAATCAGCAGCAGCGTCTCAGAGCGTGGGGAGTTCTGGACTGGTCACCTGGTTCTCCAGTAAATACCACAATTGCTCATACTGCGCTGTGTCAAATCCAATGTGACCGGCTATCGGGTCACTGATCGCTCACTTCTGTAACTGTGGTGAGTATCAAACGGAGGGCAGATGAACAATCTTGCTGGCCACGGGCTTCTCTGTGGACTTCTTACGAACATAAAAATTGCGAATGAGCCACCTTGTTGTCAACGGTCTTCATGAATTACCCTGCTGCCTTGTGGGTCACGTCTTTAAGACCAAAGCCTCGGGATGGGGTCGCTTAAGCTAATCCTCTTCCTCAGCCTGAGCAACCGAGTAAAGCAATACCCACACAACACATGGAACTTTATTTCTAGTCCTCTTACTCTTTTTTATTATTATTCATGTGTTGTGGCACTCTGCCAAATGTTTATTTGGCGTTAAATACAATATAAATACAATATAACCCATAGAATTGAAGACTGGTAGCTCAAGTTGTTCAGATGGCGGTGATGATGTCACCGCGATTGGTGACGAAACGTTGGCAAGCAAATTGCCCAGCTCAGCGAACACTTCAACCGCCAATATAACCTATGTTCGTTGGATTGCAACACCACTTGGCCCTCCCGATACCTTACGAGTTCACCTGACCCATCAGAAGTCGGATGATTGATATTTATTGAAAGTGATTCACACAACACAACAAAGCTGAGCAGGATGACCAAACGATGTGATGCGGAAGCAGGTGTTCCAGTACAAAACCAGCTAATAAACAAGCAGGACTTGAGATGCCTGCCAATTTGTGTGAATGTGTGGATGCTGTCACCGGTTTCACTGGGGAGTTAGCAGTACCATCGGGTCACCAGATGGTTTAGTTGTTCGTCGAACTTCGCAGATCGGATGTTCCGCCTACAAAAAAGGGAGAAGATTTGGGTGATAATGGAAGACTCCTAAGATTATGACCGAAAAGCAGTACTAATGAGAACTAGATTGTCTATAGCTCATCAAGACCCTCAAGAACAGTGGCAAGTGCGGTATACTCATTCGGTGGTCGCGCTGTGACACGCTATACTGTAGTCTGCTGTGAGAACACAGCGAGAATCCAAGCCTCCTACTCTATGCAACAAACGTCCGACCTGCGCTTCATTCCTGCCAGAAGAGTTAATTACAACGAAAACTTTGGGGCAGAGATCAGATTAGACGTGCTCGCCTCACCCGTAGCAAAGGCAATCCGTTCGCGAAATGCCAGCTGGGTCGATTTCATTGAACCGATGCTGGAATAACTATTAAACAAACTGCCCTCTGTAGACCACACCCACCACACTAAATGAGTACGTAATTTTTCGGGTAATGCCTGATGGCACACAGCTCGTAGGAAGAAGTGCTGACAGGTGTCATAAAAGAAAGTCTGAACGCCAACTCCCAGGCACTTCAATTAATCTGGTCGATTAAAACTCAATCTATTGAGAACGGAAGAAACGGTAATCAAACATTATGGAATCAGATGGAGTTCCCATCTTAACTGTTCTGTTCTTTTTCATTTTGTCCCATGGAGAAGTGCAGGAAATAAGCGTAATGGAAACACTGGTTTAGTTTCGGGAATTTATTTTGAGGCAATAAAAAGCGTCACCATATGCAAACCGCCATGTCACTGTGCTCACCATCCGCACAAATTCGCTTCACTTGTCCACACGTTAGCTACCGTCAGGGTAGTATCGATCGCTGTTGATGAGTGAGAAGAAGCCGACCCATGATGGAGCTTCAGCTGATGGGTAACAGGCAACATCCTGAACGCTTCGAAATGGTGCGTGCCGCTTGCTCTACTCCAAAATATCGTGCTCTGTCAGGTTCGAAGATCTCCGGACTCAGCAACTCTTTCCCTGAAATACACGTGAGCGCCATGGGTACCCGGCTCGATGTAATAACATGCTGGTAGACTGAAGACGCTGGAGATACTAGTATAAGTAAACTTTTGTGTGTACACATGCGGGCAGACGCACGCATGCACACCGGCGCTCACCGTCAGTTAATACACTTTGACTAACTCATGCCCAGTATCGGAAATAAGATAATGCCAGCGATTTGATTTCAACACGAACCTGAGTTGGTGCTTGTAGTGGATTTGCGCAGACCTGATCGTGTTAGCTTAGACGAAGGCTACGCGTAACCTGAGCACTGTCCCTATTCACACACGTACTCGGGTGACACGCTGAGTCCAACAAACAGACAAGAATACACACACGACCAGTTAATTTCATCCCTAACGCTTTCAAACCCAGTCTTAAGGAAATCGGCTTTATCCATATATATTTCAGAATAGCTTTTAAGTCAATCAAATATCCTCCTACGGACGCGAACGCCCCAAAGCGCGCCAGTCGTTGAGTGACCAATCCCAAACCAACCAACAGTATAGCAGACCAGTTTACGAAATGTGCTGCCAGAGAACGCCTGGGTGTGGCCCAGATCACATGCGATTGCCTTGCGTTCAGTCGCGTTAGACATCCGTTTCAAGACAAGATGAGATGCACCGAAGCTAAATGCATGCAAGGGGTCATACTCGTGAAAAACACGTGGAGCCATGTGCGTTTAGCAGTCACCTGTGATTAGGGTGCTTGAAACATAACCTTTCAGGCATTTGTATTTTTGCATGAAAGCTGATTGCGCGGTATGTCCACCCACCTCGTCGCTGAGCTGTCCGTATACACGGGGCGGGTTAAGCACATAGCTTTATTGATTATTTATTGACACCTGTGATTAACGTGTTCATTTAGGCCCTACACAGTTGTGGTTGTACTAGCCTGATGATGACCCATTGAAATCAAGCTTGTTCGCTGCGTCTTACTTCTAATGACTGTATACTGCTAGGTCCCCACATTACTGAGTCTGAATGACTTGGACAGGAAGAATAATGAAGGAAATTAGCTCACGTATACCGCTGTCGAGGATCGCCTGGCATGGAATTTGGCATGGTAAAAGCAGATGGGTGGTGACAGAGTGTGGAACTAGGAGCGATTAATGGTGTAATATGCTCACTCAGCGCAATGTTGAAAGGTCTGCGTTTGAAGGCTGTAACGATCCGGATCAGGATGAAACGCGCTCGCGCGCTGCACATTGGCATCCTTCCCTATCGCCTTTCTTAAGTGTTGTACGACTGACCTTGCTCCTGTGGAATAGTTCATATCACCGCCTCCTGAATCCCATTGCAGTTACCACTACATTTGAATGCACGAATGTGACATCCAACAGTAATTAATCACGAGTTGTATTGTTGCTCAACAGACAGAATGTGATAGGTCGATCCGCGGGCGACACACACGAACAGAAGTGTAACTTCGGCAACATTCCAGGCAGCTATCATTACTGCCAGTTCCAAGGAATGATCTCAGCTAGATGTTACGGGTAACCTGCAGTAAAGAGTGACCCATAGGATTTCGGTAGCTCAGAACAATTAATGCTTAGCAGGTTGTCAAGTAATCAGCAATACCCGTGTTACCGCCTCTGTACATGTGGCATATAACGGATCCCAATAACACAATTGGAAACTCGACGTTGAGTCTCCTCCACATCGGCGACATCGTGTTTCAGTTTTGATTGCCATGTTTGACTTGCTTGTTCCACGTGATAGTCCCAGCTTGTAATGGCAATTCCGTTGGCTCAGAACAGCGTTCGACGGTAGAGAACTGTAAGGCATGAGTTTCGAACTGATAGTGCTAGAAGCTCTGGTAACGCACGTAAGGTATCGTACACGCACGCAGTCACCCAAGCTACGAGAAGTGCACTCTTCAGATGTACAGCTATCGAACGGATTGTAAACTTTTTGACAAAAATCCTTGTTACCATCAATAAATTGTAGTCTATCATACAAATGGAAAGTATTCACGTAAGTGCAGGCAAGCCTCTGATATAACACTGTACAACAACGCAGCACAGAGAAAGAAATTCTATCGCGACGCGACTAGACTTTAACATGATGCGATGGTATGCGTACCTCCGTGATCTACTGAGCTACGCTGGGTGGCGTTTTCTACGTGCCCTCTGGATTGCTCATATCAAACGTGTCAATGGTTAGGGGTCGGACTAACCTCGTCTCGCAATCCTCATTGAGGGTTGATGGAGGTCCATGGTTCTCTTCCATTAAAACAGGCATGGAAGACAAGAGTTTACAGAGTATCTCACAGCTAGATTGGCGTAGAGCAAAAGTGGCACGCATTGTTTCTGACCGCTGGAGTGCACCACGTGGTGCCTAATGCTTTGCTACCTCCAGTCTCTACCCAAGAAACACCCGTTCAAATAGGTGCAAACACGTCAACTCCCACACTGAACATCTATGGAAAAGGCGATGACTGGAAACAGGTTACGTCTGTGTCAAATGTCTATCTGATGCGTTGCCGCAATTGGAATAAAAACGTGGTCAGTCAATCAGTCTACATGCCCACCGCTGGCCGGACTAAACTACGGTCAAACTTTGCGACTGAAATAATAACAAAACTGTACACCTCGCTAATGGAGACACTGTATCCTGTGTGCGGTGTAGACAATTGTCGGTACTCGCGTAAATGCAACAACATATTCACAGTGAACTTAAGAATCAAGAGTGCGAGCTGGGGAATGCACCACATGGTGAAGGTGAACAGCAGTATTATTGTTTACAAATCCTTGTGCATCGAAGATATCTTCAGAGTAGACATTTTTTGGCGTTCTGATGTTCGCACGATTGCAGTTTGAACCCCCAATTGTAAGAAATTTGAGATTTTGCAAGCTACATTTGCTGAGCTCAGGTAGATGGTAGTAATGACTTTACAATGCCGCTTGTCTGTATCTGAGGTTCTGTCAGTACCATGTTTAACAACGCAGAATCATTCCGACATGCGCTATAAATGTTGAAGTAACGGATTCTTGCGCACCCAAGTCATCTTGAGAGATATTTATGTCGTACAAAAGCCGGCTGCTTGGCAGTATTTCGCACTTACACCACAGGCAATGACATTTGTCACAAATGGCAACAGGATTCAAGCGATGATCAGTTATCGTGACACTTGATCATCCTGTCCACGGTATCGGCTCAGCGTAACACTTAGTCAAAGTGATAGTCCATTTTTTCGACAGACGGGGATTTCAGACACTGGGTGAGCACCGAGAAGACATCCAGGATGACAAAGCAGGCCAGAAAAATAGATTCGAACCGGTGACCTTATGATTGCAAGCCAGGCGTGCAGACCACTCGGTCACCAGAATTCCCGGTCCCTTTCCAGGTTAGCAAGCAGTTTCGCGTTGAAAACTTTGCCAGTCTCCTTGTGTTCGCCATCAGCAGGATCAAGTTGGCAAGCATCTATAAGTTCGTGAGACTGCGTAGTTACCCAATATCTAGGTTGGCGATTTGATTTGCCCCATGAAGATATACCCACTGCTAACAAATCTGCCGGATTTTCCATCAGTGATGTTCAATTGCGTTAGATGAGCGGTTATTCAGTTCAGATGCCAGTGTCTTCAAGTAATGCACGCAAACTGTACCTGTACATTTCGAACACGAGTATTTTAACAATCCAAATAGTTACATCACGACAGCACTCTAAAATTAAATCTGTGATTGTTATTATGTGAAACGAAATATTGAATGGCAATTTCAATTGCGGGCTTTACAACGGCGACAGCGACAGCAATTGCACGTCCGCCACGGAAAGCAAAATTAGTTGCTACGCCACTGTATCTACGTCAACTACACCCCGATTTGTTTATGCACGCTATTGGGTCAATTAAGGGATCATCCGAACGATCAAGACAGTATCCAAATCCTACTGGACAAATATTCTTGCCTTTCTGGCACGCAAATGAAATTTGGCTTGCTGTAGGAATGGTTACTTTTAAATCTAAAGTACAGCTTCCGAACCGGCTAATGTAGGTTCCGAACT